ATGGTTGAAGCAAGGGATAAAACGATATTGGAGGAACTAAAAATGCTCCGCGGTCGTCATGGTGATGGTCGATTTGATAATGAAGATGGTGGTGGTACAGGTGGTACGACGGGCTGTGTTTGAACATTATACTTCCCTTATTTATTATTGTTAAACGTTTCAACGTTCTTTAAGTACATTATATTTGAGGCATAATACATTTTGTGGATTGGAGACTACTCTGATTATGATCAATATTTGGTTTGTTTGAAAATTCTCATTGTTCATTTCTTGTGTTTTTTTCCTGTTTTTGTCTTTTGTTCTAGTTGGTATATGATTTTTGACTAATTTTGTAGCTGTATGGTTGCCTGTAGAAACTGATTTCTGCATGCAGAATCTGGTGTTGTTGCGACGGAGTTTGCGACGGACATATTCCGTCGCAAACGTTTTACGTGTTATACTGGGAGTTGCAAATGCCATCGCAAATCCACTGCGATGATTTCCATCCGTCAGAAATATGTCTACAAGAACATTTTGAATCTCTTGTAAAGTCCGTCGCAAATCTACGACGGCTAAAGACCGTCGTAAATATGGTCACAGAGTTGCGACGGAATGGTCGCAAGGCGGTTTGCGGCCAACAAACTACGACGGAATGAAAGTGGGCGCAAATGTCGTCACAACTCTTGTTTGCGAGAGAAAAGAAGCCAATTGCGACGGAAATATTCCGTCGCAAAAAGCCGAAATTCTTGTAGTGAATTGCTTAATTAATGTTACCTACCCATTAAAGCACTTAATTACTTCTTTGTCTCAAATGAAATTGTTTATTTTCTATTTATATGGTCAATTTTTATTCACTTTCTTTTTCTATTTTTATTAGTCATTTGATAAAATAATATAGTCATGTCACCACTAGTTCTGTAGATCTTTTGATGTAATTTTTTTAAATATGTACTCCCTCCGTCCCCCATAGATCTTCTCATTAGCTCTTTTTATTTGTCCACCATAGATCTTCTCATTACCTTTTTTAACACTTAAAATACCACAACTACCCCAACTTACTTTATTTATTACATCTCACCTACCTCATTTAATACACTCCACCCATTTTCATTAAGGGTATTATGGTAAACTTTCACCTTTTTTCAACTCTCCTAAAAAACCGCAAAAAGTCAAAACGAGAAGATCTTAGGGGGACGGAGGGAGTAATTTTTATTTTTTTAATCTATAACATTTTTCAAATAAAATGATTTGAAAATAAATTTAGTCAAACATTACAAATCGAAAGAGGTAGTCTAAATTGGGACGGAGATAAAGTGTTCCACCTTATATGGGTGCAATTTAATGAGTTAGCTTTCCAATGTGGGAACACAAACCCAATTAGGAAAGTGTACTCATTAATTATCACTCAAGGAGTCTACTTTGATCATTAATTCCTCTTTCGTTCCGTTTACCACTCTCTTGTTCAATAGAGCTTGAACTTTTAATTTCCAGTTTCTTCATGTTCTTCTAGTTGCTTCCAGTTCTTCCAGTTTCTTCTAATTCCTTCTAGTTTTTTCCAACTATTCTCATTTTCTTCAAACTCTTTCTACTCCTCAACCAATTACTCTAAAAACAATATATTTTAATGTGATTATTATTATTATTATTACAACTGTTTGTTAATAACTATAGTTTATAAAAAAATTCATCTCACTATTTTTACGATTCACACTCATTATTATTTTTTCAACTTTTTAATATGAATAAGAAATTTTTTTGTATATTAGTCTACATGATAAAAAGGATAACATCAATATGTTAAATTATACTAACAAAATTATGGATAAAATAGTGAAATTGAATATTTTATTAATCTAACTTTATATAAGATCTCTCACATTTCTCTTTATTATTTAAAATTTGCTCATTTTTCTAATTTTTATACTATAAAAAAAATTATAAGTCAAAATAGTTTAGAGAAAAAGACTAAAATTAAAAGTTGGTATACACTATGTCAACTCATTGTCTACTTTTACTCCTCCCAACTGAGAATCCTGGCCCACTTAATTCTATTTTTTTTTAACCGGAACTACTTTCTCACAATCTAACCTCATTCGCTCATTTACTTTACTTGAAAACTAAATGATTTTTTTCCAGCAAATAGGGAGTAACCATGTTCTACACTTCCACCCAAACTCTAACAACATTACTTCACATGTACCACTTTGTTGTCCTTTCTTCATGGCACAAATTATTTGTCCCACATCATGCTCCATATTTGGTAATCACTCCATCCCAAATTAATTAGTTTGTCTAGCTTGGGTGATCATTGATTTTATTAAAGTAAAAAAAGTTCACAATATAGAAAGAAAATGTATGAACAAGATAATATATATTCAAGTCTAATTAAGACAAACAAAAAAGAAAATATACAACTCATATATGTTAGGATAGAAAGAATATGAGTTATGTGACTAAATCAATACATGCTTTATAAATTAATCACTAACGATAGAAAATTATTTCTCCTAAATTTGCATGTCGCACTCGACTTTGCAAAATTAGTGGATTGTAAGTGTTGGAGAATTGGTTCGTGTTTCCACGTCTTTCCCTGACTCACACAACCAACTTCTTATACACTCACTCATACAATCAATAATACAAAAGCATGGCTTCAGAGAATGACTTTGTATTATATCAGGGGCGGAGGCAAGGGGGGCCTGCCGGGGCACGTGCCCCCGGCGGGATTCCGACGAAGTGTCCAAGGACCGGAGATGTTGTTTTTGACCGTCGAAGTGCCCCTCCAGCGACTGCTCTGTCACCTGTGCAAGGGAGCTGCATCTATGGGCCAAATAGCGTCAGTACCCCCTCTGCTTTGTAAAATAAGAAGTAATACCCCCTCTGTTTTCAAAACTTATTTCTAAAGTCCTTGTGGTTTCAAAACGCTGCACCCGTGTCCCCTCTGATCCTTTTCCGGTCATTTTTCCGGCGAAGAAGGGAGGCATTGGTACATATTTTCTAAGCCATAGGGGGCACCAGTGCTGATTTTTTATTTCTCTCTTATTTTTTGTTTTTTCCCATTTTTTTCCTTTATTTGTTTCATTTATTAATAAAGGTTATTTTACAATTACTTTTATAATGTTCTTAAAATTTAAAGTTATTTTTGTTTGAAAAAATTAACGTATAATGCATCAGCACGTCTCAAATTAACAATTTTTGTTTTTTTCGAAAAAAGATAATTTTTTTTGAGAACTTCTAAAAATGATGAATAAAATAAGAAACAAAATAATACAAAAATAAAAATGATTATCTTTTTTGGACATCTCAATTTTAAGGATATTTTTAGGCGTGTTCCAAAATTTTATTTTGGGTTTTCTTTTTGAACTTTCCAAAAAATTATTCTATGTAACAAAAAGTGAAAATATTTAATTTGAGATAGATGTAATGTATGTTAATTTTTTTTTATTATTTCAAACACAAAGCATTTTAAAAAATTTTAAAACATTATAAAAAATTGAAAAGAAATTTAAAAAAAAATATAGGAAAAGGAAAAAGAAGGAAAAACACAAATAATAAACGAAAAATAAGAAATGAGCATGAGTGCCCCCTATGGTTTAGAAATTATGCGCCAATGCCCCCTCTTCCCCGGAAAATGGCCAGAAAATGATCAGAGGGGGTGTGTGTGCAACGTTTTGAAACCACAGGGACTTTAGAAATAAGTTTTGAAAACAGAAGGGGTATTGGTGCCAATTTTCCAAATCACAAGTGGCACCGGAGCTATTAGGCCTGCATCTATGACTACAAATCTCCAATTATTGTTGTCGGTTAGAATTGCTTTATTTCTGGATGAAAACGATGTCTTTTTGCCTTAAAAAAATTTATTTAAAATGATTATCCGAATGCCGCCTTTATTTAATGATTATACAAACTTCAAGTCCACATGCTATCCTCTCATGTTCGTAAGTTAAACTTTTACTCTGTATTTTGTTGGTGATGTTTGATTTTGCTTTTCTGATTTTGAGTGATTTTTATTTAGAAGTATGTATAGGCATTAAGAGATATTTTTTAATACTCTGTCAATTTGTTTTATTTTGTGTTGATTATAATTTAGAGTTTTGATTAAATTAAGAACTTTGAAAAATATCAAATTTGTATAAATAATGCTCGTAATGAATTAAGAATTTAATTTTATGAATTATTTGAAATATTCTCCGTATAATATTTTTCACTTCATATTGTCATGAAAAAAATCTAAAGACGCTACCCAAGATCCTCGACCTGTAGTTCAATGTTGTGCCCCCTCGAAAGCTAACCCCTGACTCCGCCACTGTATTATATAGAGAAATATAAAAGAGATTACCATTAAACGGGTAACACACTTTACTCTATGTATTAGGAACACCTCTCTACGCCTTACTCACAAGCACCCTCAAGAAACCTTCTTGCTTCTTCACTCTTGGATTGCCAAAGGAGACATCCACACTCTTACTTATATTCATCACCAAGACTAGGCTTCTCTAGAATATTCGGCTACCACATCCAAGGAAGGCAGCAGGCGCGCAAATTACCCAATCCTGACACGGGGAGGTAGTGACAACACACCTCACACCTCTCTACATATCTAGAATCTTTTAAAAAGTCTCTACAAGCTTTTATAATATTTTAGAAGAATTTAGAGGGCTCTATTTAGTTCTAGAATATTCTTGAGGATTCTACATTCCTCGACACACTTCAAGAGACTATCAAACTTCTTTAGAATGCTCTAGAACATTCTAGAAACTTCTGCACAACTCTAGAGACTTCTACACTTCTCTAGAATCTTCCCTCTCACAACTCTTTGAAAATATTGAATTAATATTCTAACAGTGAGTAAATGAGTATTAGTTTAGGTTTTTTTGTTTTTAGTAATAATTTTTGGCCAATTAGCCAACCAATAACAAAATGGAATCCTAATATTTCAAAAATCTAGAATTAAAATGTAGATATCCAATACATACAATTGAATCCAATTTCAAATGCTACCTAATCAGGTTCTTCACCATACACAAAATCCCTTTTTGTTTGTGTATAGTATGCACAATATTTAACAACCACATCTGAAAGAGATAAGCACCTCCAAATCAATCAATAATCAAAGTGAAACTGAAACCCTCTATAGTAGTGAGTGTATATATAGTTATTTACAGATCCCTACAAGTTAAGCTGCTCCTAAATCATACCTCAACAGTTTACTTTTTTTAACCCTGCAAAAATCATCAAGTGCATCCCCAAGAATTCCACCAAAAATGAGCTTCTCCATGTCAGCCACCACATGCTCAACTTCATTGCAAGTGAAACCTTTTCCCCAACCCAACTCAAAAGCCGCTCTCGCCGCTCCTTTGCACTGCATGTCTCTCTCGATCAGCATGCTAGAGGTATCCATGCAAAGGGTGTTATCGGAAAGATCTCTGTAACTCATCAATGTGTCTATCCCATCACATATTTCAGCTGCCAATTTGTCTAGGGAGATATAAAGTTGTGGTCTTATAATGGGTAACCGGTCAAGGGACAGTGTAATCTGCAAGTTTTTGTTCTCTAGTAATTCACTTGCACAATCCAGTAAGAGTTGGGTTTCGGGCATTTCATCGTGTGAGTAATCTGGCTTCAAAATTGCAGGTTTCCATGCGCATGTGTGGAAAAGGTCCTTGGCGTGGTTGAGGAAATGTGTACTGTTTAGAAGCAAATTCTTGGTAGTGTTGGCCTTAGGATTCGATTTCGGATTGATGAAAAATTGATCATGTTCATCAAATTCACTTCCAATGGTTAGTGCAGTAGAGATACAAGAAAGGGTGTCATCTGTGCATTGATCATCTGCAACCAACGGCCCAAAGAATCACATTGCATGAAAGTACATTTATCTGTGAAAAAATATGCTTGAATACAATTTCCCCTTAAATTTCTATGATATATCTACACTAGCGACAATTATTTTGTTCAATTGAAGATATGGAAACCCCTAATGGATAGTTTCTTCACTAAACCTTCCAATCGGAAGGAGTAGTCGAAAGGACCAAAAGATGCAAAAATTATTAGTCATGAACAATGATACAGATATTGTGGCACCAAAAGCACTCTAATCATTGATGCAGGATTTGTTGAAAGAACATAACTTACCAATAACCAAAGTCTGGGAAACATCAGATACTTCCTCAAAATGGAAAATTTCTGGTTTATTTCTCTCTTTCTTGGGTTTAAGGTCAATATGTTCTTTCTTGTCTCCCAGATTTGCAGCCTGCATTGACATTAGACATCAGTATGTTCCATCGAGAAAGCTATTATCCAAATAATAGCATGTAAATAAAGAAGACAAACGTTTATTGACACAACAGGCCAAAAACTTTTGGAAATGATTTATAGAAATTAATTCTTAGAAAAGGCTAACTTTCAAAATGGGAAATGAGTTGCCCTTAAGAAAATGTGACTCAAAATAAAAATGTAGGTCAATAAAGATGAACTAACAATGGCTACAGATGAAATTCTTACTGGCTTGTCGGTTTTATTCATACACATCCTACTTCTGGAGTTGCAAAATGCAGCTTCTTGTTCTGATATATTCAATACACACTCCTGTTTTTTGAGCTTGAGATAAGCCATCTTCTCTAGTTCAAGTGGTTTACAAGCTTCCATTAATTTCATATTTTGCATTCCTTCTTTCCTCATTTTAGGAGATACCCTTTGAATCTTGCCAACCATTTTCTCAATAACTTCTTTCTTCTCTAGCATAGGCTTCCGAGGACTGGCTGACTTCTTAGGAGACGGTTTTCCCAGACCTGTGATCCCATTATCATTTGGACTTGGAACAGCTTCTCTGTACTGTTTATCCCCTTCTCTCAATTCTTTTCTTTTCCATTTTGTCTGCATCTCTTTTGAGTCCAAAGCATTGTCCTCGAAAGGGCATGTCATAGAATAAGATCTTTCTTTGGGTAGGTCAGGAGCATGGAGTGGATTCATGATCATAATGGATTCACAACCATTACCGAATTTATTTTCCAAATCCGAAGCAACGGACTGACGGTTTGAGACTCCATGCCTTGATTCATCAAAAGACTTGCTTCTGAATTGCATGTGCCCCTTGCTCTCTTGTGTGGTTCTTTGTTTTGGATCAACCTTATCTACACCAAAGGGAAGCTTCTTTGTCTTTGGAAAATCAACTTCAAATATAGGTCTCTGTTGATTGGGAAGACTGTGCTTCTCCAAAAGCTTCTGTGAAGTGGACTTAAGTGTCTCTGAAGAAATTTCTTCAAGGCCCATAAGCTTAGCAACCAAACCAGTCGCCTTTGGCTTCAAATGGGGAGCCATTGGGTAAGAACTGTTAGGAGGAGAAAACTCTTGGGATCGAAACACAGAGGATTGGCTTGAGCTTGTAGAGGGAAGATGAGAAGATGAAATTATTCGTTTTCTATCGAAATACCCCTTTTCGAATGAGGATTGGCTTGAGCTGGTAGAGGGAAGATCAGGAGATGACACCGTTCTTTTTCTATCAAAACAAGCCTTTTCAAAGGAGGATTGGCTGGAGCTAGTAGAGGGGAGATCCGGAGAGAGTTCCATTTCTCTATTTCCAAAACTACCCTTTTCCATAGCATGGTCTGGCGGCAATGACCAATTCTGCCTAGCAAAGCTGTCCAATATCGCCTCCCTTAGCTCCTCATAACAATCCCAAGAAGCTCCATCAATGGAATGCCTTGGCTTTCCATAGTCCAGCTTGTACATCCGATCTCCAGTAATCCGTTCTGATCTAGTCCTTTCAATGCCTCCTGCACCTTTTAACTTCCCTTTCCCATTTCCCTCTTTTGTCTTGCTCAGCTTCGTCATGAAGCCTGATGCTTCTTGCAACTTCTCAAGCCTTTCTAGAGACTCCCGCAAATCAAGAGCCCCTTTCAACAAGTCTTTGGCTACATCCTTAGACTTCCTGTCTGAGCCAATCCCCTTTGACCATGATTCAAGCACATGACTGAGCTTCTGAGCTCCTCTGGAAACTTCAATGAGGTGGACAGAACACGAACAGTTCAACTTATCTGCAGACTGTTTGGTGATCATTTCTTCTCTAGAAGCTTCAAATTCTATTCGTTTGCCAAGGGTTTCATCCACATCGGGGAGCCCAGGCTTCGACTTCCTAATTCTCTTGCACTCAACCACTCCCTTCGGATCATCACAGCTGAGAAATGATTTGTACACAGCAGGTCGCGGTTTGTTGCGAGGCATATTTTCCAACCAGTGGCTTTGTTCCTAATATCACTGGGCTCGGCTACAATATGAATGAAGAGACAATCTCCCGAAATCCACCAATAATTTCATAGGAACACTCAAAGGGGTACTCCAAACTCTGATTCAGATTAACATATCACACTCTATCTATCAAAACATGGCTCTTCTTAAGCTTTAATATGCTGAAGTCATAAACAAAAACATGGAGGGGTGAATTAGCCAAAATGTAAACAGTATGGTTTCCAAATTTATGAATGTCACTGTCAGTTTGAAACATTCAAAGAATGAGAAAGGGGTAAATATTTTGAATTCGAACCAACTCCAGTTCAAACAAAAACAAATCAGAACACTGTAGAAATTTGGTGAGTGAGCAATAATGTTTGAAATTCAAAGCTAATAGATCTACCCGGAGCTCATTTCAACGTCAAGAAACAGTAAATATTTTCAAAAACTGAATCTTTATTACAAAAATTAATTACAGTAATCAATCAACTGACTTTTGTTCGGTTGATGATGGAATAAATTGAGCAGATGATTCTTTAAACAGCTCAATTTCTATCTCAAATCCAGATGAACGGATGAAATGGGGCTAAGAATCCAAAAGCAAAGAAACCCAAATCGTCATAATCTTGTGAGCCCAAAATCAAAACTTAAAAAGATAAATCTTTTTCAATTTTCTTCTTCTTCTTCTTCTTCTTCTTCTTCTTCTTCTTCTTCACCAAACCAACACCAGTAGATAAACACTCACTTCGATCATGAATCCTCACCTGCATTCAGACTTATCAGTGTTTGATTCAGAAGACCTGGATCCAATCCAAGAGGAATAAACATAAACGCAATCAAACAAGACTGTGGATCTTGAAATACGGTTCTCCGGCCAGTCGAGTACAGTATATGTGTAGCATCAAGAATCAAGACTTTTGGCTTTTCACAGTTTGTTTTTTTTTGGTCTTTTTTTTCCCTGATGTGCTCCGGAATGCGGAAGAGTATGAAAATAATGTGAGAGAATTAATGAGAAATTATCGTTGGTGGTTAGACGAATGATGTGGGACTTGAAAAGGCAAGAAACTGTCGGGTCACATGTTTTACACGCAGAGCAAAAAGTATGTGCGTTCACAATCGTACGGCGGGAGAGAGAAATTGCCGTGGAAATGCTTGTGAAATCCATTAAATCTTGGAGCTTTTTGTTTAATGAGTCATAGGGGTAGTCGGTAGAGATGGGTGGTTAATGAGTTAGTAATAAAAAATGAAAATCTCATGGAAATACTCAAATCGTTATTTGAAATGAGATAAGTCCATCTTTAATTACATATTGGTGGTAAATGGTAGAGCTTACATCCAGTATTTGTAGAGATTCTGTAAAGTTATGTCTTAAAACAGTTGTTAGAAATCGCACAACACACTCTCACGTTAATGAGTTAGGATGTGCATCTATTTTCAAATCAGAAACGAATACAAAAATACAAAAAATGGCATACTGTATATGTATGTGGAACAATTAGTATCAAATTGTTGGTGTCAAACGACTGATCAAACCTGATGGGTTTGTAGCATGGACTCGACTGAATAAGACTAATTGATTCGTGCTAGAACAATATCACCTTCGACACCACGGATGACAATCATCAGTAAAATTGTACAAACTCGCAATATAATGGTTTGTTTTAGATGATTATATCATGTGTATGCAAATTAATTTGTATTTATTTATAGAGGACTATCCGCTGTAATGTCAAAGTTGATATTTTTAGATTACATTTTCTGAAAGGAAACCTCAATAGCATTATTCTTGTAGAATCAAAGTCACCAAGTGAGGGGATAAGAATCCCACACCTCACAAAAATAAAGGCATGAGCTATAACATTACAAGTGCAATTAACAGAAATAATATGAAGGAAACGTAAAAGACGACAATAAAGTCTTACAATCAGAGATAACATAGCCAAAGTAAGATAAAGAAGAAAAACCCTTCTTCCGAATAGCTTGCACCACTACTTGACAGTCTCAACGGAATTTCACTTTGTGTTTTTAAACTAATTTATAAGACTGAAGGCCAGATTTTTTTTTTGAAAGTAAAGAAACTTCATTATCGTAAAAGAGGGATTACAAAATTTGGGGGAGTAGAAACCCAAACAGAACGACGGGCCTCTGCTCTCCTCGCAAGAGAATGAGCAACAACGTTTAACTCTCTACGAACAAAACTGATAGAACTAGAGCAAAAACCGACCAACAAGGCCTTACATTCAAAAATTAATGAACCAAAATAAGAAGTAAGAGAGAATGAAGTATCTGAAATTGCCGAAACCACACGTTGACAATCCATCAAGATCTCCACGTTATGAATATCAAGAATCTTGATCCATGATAGAGCCTCACGACACGTCATAGCCTCCGCCATAAGAGGGTCCGGAGAACATAGTAATTCCCCATTAATAGCAGCAAGAAAACAGTTAGTCGGAGAAAATAGAGCACACCCGAAAGCAACCCTACCACTATCCGGCGCAAAAGCAGCATCAACAAAACACTGACAAGCAGTAGAAACCCCCGGCACCGCCCCCAACACTGCCCCAGCAACAGCCCCTGCCATAGCCCTCGGCCCTGCCTGCACAGTACCCGACACCCCCCCTACAACAACCCCTA